CAAACTAGGAACAGTCGGTACTCATTATATGAGGGCTTCACTAAATGCCCACTGGGTGCCAGGCACTGTTCTGGCCCCTGGGAATCTACAAGAGGGAGAGGAAAATTCTTCCCCTCACGGAGCCTATGGCCTAGGATTGGCAGCAGGCCATTCCCAGAAAAGACAAGTAAGCATGTGGTATATAAATATGTGTTATGGAGGAAAAGAAGGCGGGGAAATGGGAAATGTGGATGAAGGAGAGGGTAGTATTTTAGTAGAGTGGTCAGAAAAGGTGACATTGTAACTGAGAGCTGAGGGAAGTGAGGGGTGGGTGGTGCAGGTACCTGGGTGAGGGGGAAGTGTTTTAGGCAGAGAGCAGCAAGGGCCCTGAGGTGGGAGTGTGCCTGGTGTTTTGGAGGAACAGGGAGGGGGCCGGTGTGTCTGCAGGGGAATGAGGTCAGAGGAGTGGTGGGGGCCAGATCTTGTGGGATTTTGTGGCCGGCGTAAAGATTTGGTTTGAGTCTGGGCGAGATGGCTCATGCCTGTAATCCCAGCACTTTGTAAGGCCCTGGCAGGAGAATCGCTTGAGCCCAGGAATCTGAGACCAGCCTAGCCTTGTGATCGTGACATTTACTGCAGAAAGGAAGAGGAGGTCAGTTTGGGTTGGGTTAAGATGGAACTGCTCTTGGCCAGGTGCAGTGGCTCACACCTGTAATGCCGGCACTTTGGGAGGCTGAGGTGGGTGGATCACCTGAGGTTGGGAGTTCGAGACCAACCTGACCAACATGGAAAAACCCTGTATCTACTAAAAATACAAAATTAGCCGGCTGTGGTGGTGCATGCCTGTAATCCCAGCTACTTGGGAGGCTGAGGCAGGAGAATTGCCTGAACTTGGGAGGCAGAGGTTGTGGTGGGCCGAGATCGTGCCATTGCATTCCGGCCTGGGCAACAAGGCCAAAACTCTGTCAAAAAAAAAAAAAAAAAAAAAGATGGAACTGTTCTTTGAATATCCTGGTGGCAACTCCAGGTCAGCACTTGGGTATCAGGGTCTGACCTCGGGTGGAAAAGTCCAGGTTGGAGAATCACACACTGAAAAGCTTCAGGGTTTAGCTGGGCTTTGAAGCTGGGATGGGGTCATCACAGGCAAGAGTGAGATGAAGAAGAGCGAGTACTGAGCCCTGGGAGCTCTGGCACTGGATGTCAGAGAGGGGCAGAGGAACCAGCAGAGGAGGATGAGAAGGCGAAGCCGGAGAGGCAGGACAGAAAACATAGCAATGAGGAGTCCTGGAAGTCAAGGGAAGAACGTACGTCAAGGAGGAGGCGGTGATGAAACGCTGTCAGACGCCATCAGGGAGCTAAGACCAGGCCTGTGAGTGGATTTTTGGATTTGGCATTGTGGCAGTCACTGAGGACAGGCCACGGTCTAGTGCTGTGTACAAACTTTAGAAAATGTTGGCTGTTCCAGGTGGACCTAGCTACACAGGCACACAGAAAGTGGATACCTCGGTGTGAAGAAAAAGGTATCCTGCGCAGTGGCTCACATCTGTAATCCCAACACTTTGGGAGGATGAGGCAGGAGGATTGCTGGAGCCCATGAAGTTGAGACCAGCCTGGGCAACATGGCGAAACACTATCTTTACAAAAAATAAAAAAAATTAGCTGGGTGTGGCGGTGCATGCCTGCAGCCCCAGCTACTGGAGAGGTGGGAGGATCGCTTGAGGCTGGGAGTTCAAGGCTGCAGTGAGCCGATATCATGCCACTGCATTCCGGTCTGGGTATTCCTGTTTCTAAAAGAAAAACAAAACAAAAACAAAAACAAACCCATTCAACAAACTAGGAATAGAAGGTAATGACCTCAACATGATAAAGGGCATTTATGAAAAACCCACAGCTAATAGTGTACTCAGGTTGCAGTGAGCTGTGATTGTCCCACTGCACTACGCTAACCTGAGACCCTCTCTCTCTCTCTCTCAGAGAAAGAAAGAAAGAGAAAGAAAGAAAGAGAAAGAAAGAAAGAAAGAAAGAAAGAAAGAAAGAAAGAAAGAAAGAAAGAAAGAAAGAAAGAAAAAAAAAAAAGGCATCTCTTCCCCTGACAGATGCAGCCTTGCCTCAGGGCACACAGCATGGTGAGAGGAAAGAGCAGACTGGATTTCAGCTACCTCTCCATCCTTCGTGTACCCAGCATCCTTGTGCAGTGCCCAACCTGCACATCTGTACTCGGCAACTGTGTTGACTGTGATGAGTGGTGTCAATGAACTGTATAGGGAGATAAGAGCTAGACTGGAGTTTCTTTGACAAAGAGGAATTGGAGACAGCATGGACAAGTTTTTCAAGGAGCTTTGCCATAATAGGTAAAACGAAATGGGATGGTAGCAGCGGAGTGGAGAGGAATTGGCCAAATGAGGGTGGGTGGAGGGAAAGGCATCCCAGGCAGAGAGCTTGCCTAAACAAAGGGAGATCACTAGCAGTGGTTGAGGGCGTATGAGTGTGGGAGGGGTCCTAGGACATCAAATTTGAGGTCGGAAGTGTCAGGAGAGGGGATATAGAATAGGTGAATTGGGGCCTTTATCTTGGGGGTGTGGGGATGCTGGGGGCAGGGGCAGGTTGCAGCAGAGCTGAGAACACAGTAGGTGCTCACTGAGCTTTCTGGGATTGGCCTGGGGAATCTCTACCCAGGCGCCCCTCCTGGGCCTCAGGCTCCCAGCTGGAAGATGGGAGAATTGGGTGTTGGTGGGTCCATCTGTCCCTGCCCAGGGTGCTGACCATGCCCAATGCAGCTGTCCCTCCCCCCCGCCGCATACCTTCTGTACTCTCCTAGGGACCAGTCAAGGGCCTTCCTATGAGACCCCCTCAGGTGAGGAGGCAGGGTGGGGGAGGAAAGGGAGGTCACTTGGAGGAACAGGGAGAAGCTGCCCACTTTTCTTTCCCTTGAGGAATGAAAACATAGTCTATTCTGGCTCTTCAGTAGGGGGATGCTGACCCTGCTGTCTTTTCCCTTCCCTCCCTCCCTTCCTTCTTTTCTTTTCCTTCCTTCTTTTCTCTCTTTCTTTTCTTTCTTCTCTTTCTTTCTTCTCTCTTCCTTCCTTTCTTCCTTTTCCCTTTCTCTCTTTCTTTTCCTTCCTTCCTTTCTCTCTCTCTCTCTTCTCTCTCTCTCTCTCTCTCTCTCTCTCGCTCTCTCACCTAGGCTGGAATAGTGGCTGGAATGATCTTGGCTCACTGCAACCTCTGCCTCCCAGGTTCAAGTGATTCTCTTCCCTCAGACTCCCCTGCATCTGAGATTGCAGGAATGCATCACCATGCCTGGCTAATTTTTGTATTTTTAGTAGAGATGGGGTTTCACTATGTTGGCCAGGCTGGTATCAAACTCTTGACCTCAAGTGACGCAGCCTGCTTTGGCCTCCCAAAGTGCTGGGATTATAAGCCTGAGCCACCTCGCCCAGATGGACCTTCCTTCTTCTTTTTTTTTTGAGACGGAGTCTCACTCTGTCACTAGGCTGAAGTGCAGTGGGGCAATCTCATCTCACTGCAACCTCTGCCTCCCGGTTCAAGCAATTCTCCTGCCTCAGCCTCCCAAGTAGCTGGGACTACAGGTGCGTGCTACCATGCCCAGCTAATTTCTGTATTTTTAGTAGAGATGGAGCTTCACCATATTGGCCAGGGTGGTCTTGATCTCCTGACCTCGTGATCTGCCCACCTTGGCATTTTAAAGTGCTGGGATTACAGTCGTGAGCCACTGCACCTGGCTGACCCTGCTTCTTTGAAGAGGTGAAGGTAGCCACAAGGAACAGTAACAATACTCCCCTCTCCAGTGTCGGTGGCACCCAGAGCACTCACACAGAGCCCACCTGTGGCCTCCAGACAGCCCTCTGAGCCCCTGGGATCTAGTTCCACTTGATGGAGGGGAAAGGAAGGTTCAGGAAGGGTATGGCTGCCCATAGCCACACAGCTAGAAAGTGGAGGGAACTGGACTAGAACCCAGATCTTCTTCCCCCTGCCACAGGCTCTTGGAGTTACAAAGGACAGGGGGCAGATCTGGGGGCAGAGACTAGGTTCTGTGTGCCAGCTGGGAGCAGGTTAGCTGGAGAGACAGCTGTGTCTGCCTTTCCCCTTTCCCTGTTATTTCCTTCCATGTAACTTATTAAGCCATACTGAGTGTTAGGTGCTGAGGATATACTGTGAACCCTTCAAGGGGCTCAGAGTCCATCTGGTGGACAGCGATTAAATAATGCATTCCATGAGTAAGTCATCATTACAGTTGGAATAGCCATGGGCTGTTGAGGGCATCTGTGTGCCAGGTCTTGAGCACATCAGCTCTTTTGGTCCCCATCCTAGCCCCACATTAGGGGGCCTGCTACCATCCTCATTGGGCAGATGAGGAAGTAGGCGCCCAGAAAGGTGGTCCAGCTATGACTTGAGGCAGTGGGTGCCAAGGGCGGGGAATGTAGAATCTAAGCCCTGCCACGTGCACTTCTCTCCACAGCCCATGCTGGTCGCCACCCTTCTCTGACTTCAGGTAGCAGAGGGCAGAGGGGTAGAGTGCAGGACAGCAGGGAAGCTAAGCTCCTGTGCCCTTTAAGATCCAGGGCACCTGCACAGAGAGTGGCTCCCTTGTTTGTGGACTCTTTGGATGCAGCCTGAGTGCCCTCTTAATTGGCCAGCTGTGCCCACAGGTTTAGGTCTCCTGGGGCCATGAGCAGGTGACTTATGCTCTCAGACCCTCAGCTTTCTCATCTGTAAAATGGGTTGTAGGATTGTTTTGAGAGTTAAATATGACATATGAAGAGCCCTTGGTAGATCCATGGTTGTTAGGGACGTCACCATGGTTGATGAAGTCCCAGCTCCAGCTGGGACTGGATGTTACCCAGCTTGAAGAGGGGGAGGCTCAGACTCCACACTTCCAATTGCTGCCACCCTAAGCGGTCAGCAGATTCTCTTCTTGCTCCCTAAGAAGAGTCCATGTCTGTGTGTTCATGGGTGGAAAGAAGGTCAGAGAAGCCTTCATGGAGGAAGAGGCATTTAAGGAGGAATCTGAGGGTCCAGTAGGAGGTCACTGAGCACAGCAGGATCCAGGCCCCACTGGGCAGAGTGTGGATGGTCTGCAGAGGTCTGGAAGTGGAAGCAGCTGGGTGTGGTGACCGTCCCCAGGGGCTGGAGTCAGGGAGAGGGGTAGAAAGTGGCCTCCTGTGGCAGGGCTTGACTTGCCTTCGCCCAGGCACTGGGCCTGCTCCCCATCCTCTCCTTAGATCCCTGTGGGTGGGGCCCCTTTACTGCCGCTCAGAGAGGCGGAATCTTACTCTGCAGGTGCTTCATAGCCAGGAAGTTTTTAATGTCCAGCCCAGGTACAGTTGGTCAACCCTCTTCTTCAGGTAGGGTCCTGGGGTGAGGGGGGGGGGCATCAGGGAGATGCCCTGAGGGAGACACTGTGGGACAGGTGCCTTGGGAGATGGTTTTCTCCATCCTGGGCCCCCTCTGTCTCTCCCTTGGTCTCCTTATATCTGCCTAGGGTGACTTCCCCTTGACCTGGCACTGGGATTGCGTTCTTGGTTGGACTCACCTCTCACCTCCGCCTCCCTCAGGGTCTCTTTTGTCTCTCCTCTCTCTTGCCTCCTCCCCTCCCACTCTGTCCTGAGTGCCCCTTCTCACCCCACAGCTCAGGTCCTCAGGTCTCCGTCCCGTCGGTCTCTAGGTCTCAGGGGCTCAGTCTTCCTCTTTCAGATCCTTCACCTTGGCCCCCTGCACTCCCTGCTCCTCCCTTGGTGGGGTCTCCAGGGGACTGGCCGTGTGTTGGGGGACTGTTGGGGCAGGGGTCATTCCCTGAACAGACCGTGGGAGGAGGGCAAGGACCCGGCCCCTCCTTCACCTCGAGGGCCTGGCGGGTCCTGAGGGCTCAGGTTCTGGGCCGCAGGGACCTGCCTGGGGGTCGGAGATGGTTGCATCTGACCAGGGATTCGAGGACGGCCGGGGCCCGGCGGGGCTAGGAAGGGGCGGAATCTCGGGCGCTCCCCTCCCCCACTTTCTTAAAGGGCCCGCGAGGGGCGGGGCGGGGACAGGATGGGCCGCGCCCTCCACGGCAGGCTCGGGGTCCTGGGGCGAGCGGTGCGCGTCTGGCGGGCTGGGCTGGGGGCTGCGCTCCCTTCCCGGCTCCGCTCCCGCCGCTCGCGCGCCCGCAGTGCCCCCGCCCTTCCCCGCCCTTCCCGCTCCTCCTTCCTCCTCCTCCTCCTGCTCCTGCTCGCGGCTCCGCTCCCTCCCTCCTGCCGTCCGTCCCCCTCGCTCAGCCTCTCCACACCGCGGCTCCGGCACCTGAAGGGACGCGGGCGGGCGCGGGCAGCTCCGACCGGCGGCGGCGGGGCGGGACAGGCAGCCCGGCGGCCTCCGATGGCCCCACCGTGAGAGGCCGGACCCGCGGCGGGGACCAGCAGCGGTGAGTGGGGCCGCGGGGCTCCGGGACCCGCCCCTCCCCGCTGGCCACCAGGCCGGGGCAGGAGCGGCTGGGGAGGGGGCCGCGTGCGGAGTGGGGGGCGCCGCCCTCGCCCTTGGTGCCCGCCCGGGTCCTCTAACAAAGCTACATTTCCAGATCAATTCCGCGGCGTCTGGAGCATCCGAAGGATACGGTTGTCATGGAGATGGGGCCGAGCGAGGAAGCCCGGGCTGGCCGGGACTGGGCCGGGAAGAGGGGGCGCCGCGGGAGAGCCCGAGCCCAGCCTGAGGGAGGAGGGCGGGGGCTGCCGACCCGATTGTCTCCCGGCTTCGCCGCCCGCTCCCGTCTCCCCGCTTTTGTATAATCTGGGGGTACGCGTGTGCGTGGGGTGTGCTAGTGGCAGCCTAGTGGCCGGAGATCGGGGTGTTGGGTGCCGGGGCCTGCAGGCAGCCACCTTCACGAGGCTGCAGCTTTGAGGATTTATTTCTGTTTCCAGTTTCCCAACTTTGACAGCCTGGCTTGGTGGCCAGGCCTTCCCAGCTCCGCCGCTAGAGCGGGGGCTCGCACGGGGGCGTGGCAGGCAAGGCCGAGGAGGCACATAATGGCCGAGGCAGCAGCGGGAGGGAGGGGTCCCAGGAGCCGGCTGCTGGGGCTGGGTGGAGAAGGAGTCCAGATTGGGGACCACCCTGCCCAGCGGGCCCCCTCCTCAGAGGAGGTATTCAGACTTCTGCTGTTCCTAGAGGATCCAGGGGCTCCCTGGAATGATCACTGGGGGCATTGTTTTTGCATAGGCCCAGGGGTCCACTGTCTCAAGCCCACCCCTTTGTCTTAGGCCCATCTTGGGGGGCCCAGGAAGAGAACCCGGAGCAGAAGCAGCAGTCACAATGGAAGAGGTCCTTAGACTCCTGGCAGCCAGGGGATAAGCCAGGCTGAGCTTGATGGGGACAGGGAGACACAGCTCAGGGTTTGGCCAGGGCAGGTGAGTGGCCTGGGCTTGGACTTTCCTGGGTTTCCCAGTTCCTTTTTCTAGATCCTACAGACAAGAGCTGCTTAATGGGGGTGGCAGTTGGCACTGGGCTGGGACTGCCTCCAAACCCAACCTGTGGACCTGAGCAGATGCAGTTATTCTGTCATTCTTCCACCCTCTCCCCAGGAGGTTAGGAACCTGCCTCCCAGGGAAGCTCCAAGTTCTGTGAACTGGGATCTCCGAATCAGTAAAATGTGCCTGCTGTTCTCCCAGCAGCCCCTTTCCCCAATATATGGTGGGAGGCCATGGCTTTTGAGTGGGGCTACTGCAAAGTTTGGTCCTGGTGGAAACGTAGCAGTCCCTAGGATTTGGCCAGAGCCCCCAGAAGATTCCCACCCAATGGGGTGAGTAGGTGGGTGTGGCCCAGCTAAAGGAGAATGACTAGGTTGTCCTCGGAAGGCCTCCCTCACTGGTGCCTCTTGCAAGGTTGAAGTCTCAATGCTTGGGTGAATTGCACCCTGCAGCCCAGGGATCCCCCCAGAGGTCTCCCTCCTGAAGCTTGTCCTGACCTGACAACTCTGGAGTGCGTGCTCCACAAGCGGGCCTGACCAGTAGTGCTTCCCAGGGTCTTCCCTGAAGGGAGGGAGCAAAGCTAGCTGAAAACAATGACTTCCTGCTCTAGACAGCACTGAGAGAGAGAGAGAGTGGCTTGGGGCATTACCTCACCCAGCTTCCATATATGGAGCATATTCGCCAAGTACCCTCATAGCATAACTGTCTTTAGAGGGAGACACTACCATTATTCCCATTTTGTGATGGAGTTGTTTGTTCAAAGTCCCCTGGTTAGTAAGTGGCAGAGTGAGGATTTGCACTTGGCCAGAACTGTCTGATACTCAGACCTGTGTCCCCATCCTCATCCTCTTCTGCCTTGGAGATACAACTTAGGAGGGATGTGGGAGGTGGGACAGAGTGCCTCTCCATCTGGGCAAGGGGGTAACCTTGGGAAAAACAAGCACTAAGCTAGACTTTCCTAGGGAAGTGGGATTAGGCATTCCTATTCCGGACGTTGGCTTGCAGGAGATCAACACTGCCTCTCGCGACAGACGATGCTCTAGACCTCCTTTGCCAGATGGTCTTTTCCAGGAAAATCTGTTTTGAGCGGCATCTTATGTCTGAGGCTCCGTATTTAGACTGGCTCTCTGAACAGGAGGATACACTTAGGCTGTCGCCCCTAGAGTGGTGTTTGGGGGTTGGGTGGGCTTGGGGCCAGACCTGGCTCCTTGCCACAGCTCAGTGGAGGGATAGGGGCCCATGTTCCTGCCCTGGTCTCCCTGGGGCCAGCTTGTTTTCCTTGTCCCTCTAAGCCAGTTTGCCCACAGGTGAGTCTGCTTCCTCGGGGTCTGGCCCCTTTTTTAGGTGGTAAGCCACTCCAGCACTGTGCCTGCCTGGCCTGCGGTGACTCAAGCATCCAGCCCAGGGCCAGCCCACAGCACGGCTTGCCCAGGTTTGTGGGCTGCCCCAGGAAAGGAATATGTCTTCTCCTCTGACTCCTGCCCCCAAATCCCAGCCCCTGAGCTCCCCTCTTTGGAATGTCTTCCTCCACTCCCTTTCTTCTCCCACCTTACTTTTTATCTTGTCAAAGCTGATAATATGGTGAACACCACCAACATACCCTTCACCTGGAGACCTAGATTTGCCAACTATTAATATGTTGCCCCACTTGTTTCTCTCTCTCTTTCTCGCAACCTTTTGAAAGTTAACTTGCCAACATTATAACACTTCACTTTTAAATATTTCAGCATGAAATGTCCCTGAGACAGGGACATTTTTCTACAAAAAGACTCTATTGTCGTCATACCCAAGAAGTTTAGTAATCATCCAGTTTAACCTAACATGTAGTCCGTATTTACACTTCTAATTGTCTCAGTAATGTCCTTTATAGCTGTTTTTTTTTTTTTTTAATTTGATCATGGAACTTACATTGCATTTAGTTATTATGGCTCTTTAGTGTTTCAATCTGAATGAATCCCTGGCTTTTTTGAAATTTTTAAAATGACATTGTTAATTTTGAAGCCTTGTGGTGTGTTTCACATTCTGGATTGGTCTTCTTGCTTGCTCATGATTAGATTCAAGTTCAACATTTTTGGGCAAGAATATCCCATAGATGATGTCATGTCCTTCTCCGTGCATGATATTGGGACGGGAGGCACCTGTTACTTGCTTGTTCTATAGTAGGTGGCACTAAGTTAGGTCACTTGGCTCAGGGGTCCCTGTATTTCAATTCTGTTCCCCCCCCCTTCTCTACCTCCAAAAGCTTAATCTGTGCACCAGGTCAGCAAATCTGACTGAACCCCTATATCAGACCAGATGTTGGAGAATGAAGAAGCAGACAGAGACCTTCAGGGAGCTTGCAACCTCAGGGTTGGGGGTGGAGGAGCTGCTGCTCAGACCTGTGCTGTTGGTGGGGGAGAGGGGAGGCCCAGAGAAAGTAATAAGAGGCACAGCAAGGGGAGAGGGCGTGGGGGGCCAGACAGGAAGGCAGGCTCAGGCCACAGCTAGCCTGGAATGTGGGCTAACCAGGCTGGCCTTTTCCCCAAGGGCACTTCAAAACCACTGAAGGGCTTTGAAGAGGGGATGTTGGGGCAGTTTTGAGTGCTGGAAAGGCACTCTGAGGAGTAAAAACTGGGGCTGGCTGGGCTAGTACATGGGAAAGAGATCAACCAGGAGGCTGTGGAAGCACCCAGCACAAGACACAGGGGACTGGATTGGGGCTGCTGTGTGTGGTGCACGGAGGGAGTGGAGTTATGTGGTTTGGTGACTCTGCTGGGTGGCTGTTGCTGGTGGGAGAAGGGAGAAGGGGATGGAGCTGGGAGAGATTTAGGAAGCAGAATGGACAGGCCCTTGTGTCTGATTAAAGGTGGGGAGAGTGGGAAGGATGAGCTCATGCAGTGGCTTGGGAAGGGAGATGGAGGCTGTGGTTTTGAGTGTGTGAGGTCTGAGGTGCTTTCCAGGCCAGAGTAATGGTATTTGGGAAGTTCATTTGGTGGTGACCACCTGTGGCCACCTCGCAGAAGCTCATTTTGAGATGGGGGCAGAAAGAAGAACCACACCTAACCCACAGCAGGGAATGGACAGTGGGCTTCAGGCACCAGCATAGAGGGGACTGAGCAGGGCTAGGCTGGCTCAGACGGCAGCTGCCCCTGTGGAAGTTGGGATAATCCTGCCACTAACTTGCAGACCCCAATTCCCTTACCTCATTTTGCTTCTTCATACTTGCTTGGCAAAACCCCAACGCTGGTTAAATCCAATGCCTGACCTATTAAATGCCTGCACGTGCAGCTGACTGGGGCCGGGCAAAACCACTGCCCTGACTGTTCTCACTTTCAGTCCAGGCCCATGAACACTGAACTTCAAGTGGGTCCTTAGCGCAGTCCAGCAGGCACAGCACAGGTTCTGAGGTTGTCGCCTCTCCCCCGTGCTAGATGACTCTTTCACACTTGCTCTTTGTGTGTGTGTGTAGAGATGGGGGTCTCACTATGTTGCCAGAGCTGGTCTTAAACTCCTGACCTCGAGTGATCTGCTCTCCTCAGCTTCCCAAAGTGCTGGGATTATGGGCATGAGCAATTGCACCCAGCCCCCACTTACTCTTCTACCCTCACCCCCCAGTCCCTCCCATCCTTCCTTTCAGCGTATCATCTTTGAGAAAATATAAGCAGTTAGAGTGTCCTGAGGCTCCCAGAGCCACACTCACCTGTCTGCCAGCATCTGCACTCACTGCCCTGCTTTCTCCTGTCTCTGTGGGCGAAGTGTCCCTGCTCCTGGTTAAGGCCACCCCTCTACTTGTGCAGAGATCATGGCCCCTTGTGTCTGCTTTAGAACATCACTCCAGCAGGGCCCCTGCCTGTATCATCGGGTCCTCCTCTCTGCTAGAGCATCCTATCAGCAGATATCTTGCTGTTATTTCTTCTGTGTTAAAAATGGTTCTGGCTGGGCATGGTGGCTCATGCCTGTAATCCCATCACTTTGGGAGGCTGAG